CTTGGGAGAGGTGAGCTGTAGGTGAAAAGAACAGAAAGGCTCACCATCTAAACTAAATCAATAGCAAAAAGCAGCTACTATTGGGATGAAAAAAATAAGATAAGCACACATCTTTCCTTTCATTTCCATTCCAAGTGTGAGAAGGAAGATATGTGTATTTCTCATCAGGCCAAAGGACTGCCTAGATAAGAAACATCTCCAGTGAGCAGTGATTATTTCAACTACATGGGGAACTCCTTCCCAGGGAATCCTACTTACAGAAAGCACTGTTCATTGTGGAGCCAGAAGAGAGTGCCCCAAAAATGAGGAGGCACCATGTGCTCCTGATGAAATGAAGTCAGCAACACCATTCTGATGTGCTGGATCTAAACTGAACCCCAAATGTAGATTTTTACCATCACATGCTCAGCACATCTGAAAAATAAATAGCCTCATTTACATAATTGCACAATTGTGGACAGTCTGGATTCCAAAAGCCAGGATATATATTACTAGCATATATCAGACCTATGGAAGGGTTAAGCCAGGATGTATATTACCAGCATACATCAGACCTATGGGAGGGTTAATTCAGGGTGTATATTACTAGCATGCATCAGATCTATAGAAGGGTTAATCCAGGATGTATATTATTACCAGCATGTATCAGACCTACAGAAGGGTTAATTCTCAAAAGAAGCCCCTTCTCATACAGATGGAGGCAGGGAGCTGTCATCAATGTTTAATCAATCAATAGGCATTTATTTTATGATATAAGGTTTACATTGCTCTCCATCTGGAGTTAAGTGGAAGAATGAAGAAGAGAATCTGTCAGAAGCAAAATTACTTCTTGTTAGCTTTGCCTCCATCGTTTCAAGTCAGCCTAGTACATGTTAATCTTTTCTATGACTTAAATAAGGCAAGAGAGAGTGATTATGTTAACCCTCTGTGGATTTCTCAAAAAGTCTCATCTCAAACCAACAATTTAGGCCACACTCTCCATGAGCTGTCAGAGTTCTGTCTCAAAATGTGATCACATAATTGGCCAGTTACTTTGTAGACGCCATTGCGTTACCAGTTGTATAAAATCCTGTGGTTCTAATTTCTCTTTCACTCTCCAGCACCTCCACTCTGGGTTCAGTGTCTAACTCTAAGGGCACTGTGGGAGAGTGCAAATAATACAGACTTTGGATATAAATAAACTTCATTTAAATGTCCTCAATTGGGAGGAGTTTTATGTTTGAGACAAAGCTCAAATTTCAGTTAGAAATGGCAGCACAGAAGTGCTTTAAAGGGGAAACAGAACAAGTCATGAACAAGTGAAGGGTGAGAGCTGCCCTTGACTTGCTGGCCTGGGAACTGAGTAGGTATGGGAACCCCAGCCAGGGCATATCATCTCCAGGGACACTGGCCAAATGTCAGAACTGAGAGACAGTCGTGGGTGTTTCAGGGGTGTGCCTCCCCGCCCATCCCTTGAGTGATTCTGGGCAGAGCTTCATGGCTTCTCCAGAGTAGGAGTGAATGAAATGGAATTGGGAAGATGAGTCACAAACAAAACACTAGACTATCCTGATTTAAGCCTAAACTCTAACTGGATATTTAGAGGGAAAGCATCCTCTTATTGGCCAAAAGCATAATCTAATCAGCATCAGCACAGGGCACTGAAGGAGAAGGCATGTCAAGGGACCGTAGGATGCTCACCACCAGCTTGAAGGGGTCCTGTGACGATCAATACTGTCATCTTATCCAATCACCTAGGGACAAGCCTCCAAGTATGTCTGGGAGAGACTGTCTAAATTTAGTTAGAGCATTCCTGTACTGTGAGGGAGTGCTTGGATTGGGTTAATTGAGTGAGAAGACCCCCCCCCCTAACTGTGAGCAGCACCATTCCATGGGCTGGTGTCTGTGACTGAAGGAAAAAGGCAAGAGCCTCAGGAGGACAGCAGTCATTCCTTTCTGCTTCCTGACAACAGATGGAATACAGCCAGTCACCTCAAGCTTCTGCCAGTGTGAATTCCCTACCATAACAGTTGCACCCTCAAACTGAGGGCCAAAATAAACACTTTTTCCTTCAGGTCACTTTGGGGGGCTATTTTATCACAGGAACAGGAAAGGTAATTAATATAGTCTCTAACAACCCAGCAGGAAAGAATAGCTCAGGTTTACTAGGCACACTGCAGACAAATGACAGAGGAAGACCTCGGGGTACTGCACTGAGGCTCTGCCAGGAACTTTGAATCTCCACATACAAGGACCCCACTACTAGTGGTTCTAGAACATTCCATTGGGAATATATTTCTTTTAAGCTGGTGTTGGGGAGGAAATTTTAGTTACACATGTAAACAGGAATAAAACTCTCTGCATATTCAAGAACGCCCACTTGATCTGTCTAAATGGCAAGGTATCTTAGCCTGGTGCCTCTGTGATTCAACTGATATTAGACTTCAGAAAATATTTATGGGAAGAGGAAGCAACAATTAACAATTTCATTAATTCAATTACAACACACAGTAGCTCCTCCATAAATGTTTGTTGTTGCTGATGATGATAATTAAAATCTCTTTTATAGATGGGCTATGATAGATAACCAGGTCATAACTAAGTCCTTGTGGCTTGATGAGAACTCCCATTATGTATAAATATTGACTAAGGCTGAGCCTCACACATACCTATGAAATTCAAGTTTATAATCTCCAACTCACCAACAGTAAATGAGTTAAACTGGGACCTCTGTTTCAACAAACTACTGTATTGAAGGAGGAAGTACAGATGTTATCCAAAGTCTATACATACTACTGTCATTTTTCCATGTTTTACAGGCAAATTTTGCATAAAATGTCTGATATTTCTTCATCATTTAGGGACTCTTAGGACTTTTGGTGGTGAAGGTCTTTTTGTGGCTACAGTCCCCCACAGAGTACCAAGAGGAAGTATGAAAGACAAGATTACACGATGAAAAAGAACATAAAGACTCACTCCGTCCCAACCTGTGCATGGTGACAATATCCCAGGCCTCCTCGGGCTGAGGGAAACTCGCTTGTCTGGAACCATTCTAGGTTATATATGAAGACCCAGTCTAAAAATAAAGATCAACCTTACTCTTTAGTTATGCCTTGGAGCAATTACCTAGCTACAGCTACATAATATTTGTCTCAAACTTTTTCTTTTTAATATTTTTATTTTTCATTGATACATAGCAGCTGTTCATGTTTTTTGCATAAGATGTGACGTTCTAACCCCATGTATTCAATGTGTGGTGGTCAGATTGGGGTGAGTGGCATGTCTCTCAACTCAGACATTATTTATTTTCAAACTTTGTTTTCAAACTTTTTTGCTAAAACAAGAATATAAGTAATTTAGACAGATATACTGGTCAGAAGTCAGCCATGGATAAAGTAATTGCAGTTTTCTTTTTTTAATATTGTATGTGTATGAATGCTTTACCTACGTGTATGTATGGGCAGCACCTGTGTGCCTGATGCCCACAAAGTTCAGTAGAGGGTGTCAGGCTCCTGGAACTGGAGTTAACACTGTTGTGAGCCACCCTGTAGGTGCTGAGAACTGACCTGGGGCCCTCTACAAGAGCAACAAGTGTTCTTCCCCACTGAGCATCTCCCCAGCCTCATAATAGCTTCTTTAGCTCTTATTCATCAGTGTGTGTGTGTGTGTGTGTGTGTGTGTGTGTGTGTGTGTGTGTATGTATATGTGTTTTCAACTACACAGACTAAATGGTGGAAAATGGGATGAAGATAAGGTGGGCCAGAAGTAAACATGCCAACGTTCTGGGCTTCTGGATCTGTCTTCCCCAAACTTACTGCTAAGACACTAGATCACATGTAGGATTCTAAATATTCATAACTGGATCCACCATTTCATTTTCACTACCTCAGTCCAAACAAGGCTCTTCACTCGCTGGCCCCTTGCTTCTGAATCTCCACAGCATGAGCACATACTAAGAAACAAGAAAGCTTGGGCTGGGGAGATGGTACGGTCAGCAAGCACTTGCTGCCCAAGCCTGAGGACCTGAGTTCAGGCCTCTAGCACCTCGGTGAAAAGCCAGCCTGGGAGGGTCTACGGGCTTGCTGGCCAGATAGTGTGGCTGAACTGGCAAGCTCCAGGTTCAAAGTGAGACTCTGTCTCACAAACTAAGGTGTGGCTGGTTGTAGTGATGTACACCAGCAGTAAGGATTTGCTGAAGGAGGCAGGATGATCAGCCTGGGCTACACATTTAAGGCCAGTATGGTGGTGCATGCCTTTTATGACAGCACTTGGGAGGCAGAGGGAGGTGGATCTCTTTGAGGCCAGTCAGAGTGAATTCTAGGACAGCCAGGGCTACATAGAGAAACACTATCTCAACAAATAAACAAATAAGGTGGAAAGTGATGGAATACACCAAATGTCGAACCTCTGGCCTCTACACACACATACACTAGCAAGCATACACAGTGTCTTAGAGCTACTACTGCTGTGATGAAACACCATGACCAAAAGCAACATGGGGAGGAGACAGATGGCTTTTTTTCACTCACAGTTCCATATCACCAAAAGCAGGAACTCAAGCAGGGCAGGAACCTGGAGGCAGGAGCTGATGCAGAGGCCATGGAGGAGTGCTGCTTACTGACTTGCTTCACATATAAGCCTGCTTCCTTATACAACTCAGGACCACCAGCCCGGGGATGGCACACCCACCATGGGCTGGGTGGTTCCCCCATTGACCAATAATTAAGAAAATGCCTTACAGCTGGATCTTATGGAGGCATTTCCTCAGCTGAGGCTCCCTCCTCTCTGATGACTCTGGCTTATGTCAAGTTGACATAAAACTAGCTAGTGTACACAGCATACCAGCACACAATAAACCATCATTCACTAGGTACACACACAAAGGTATGTAGAAACACACACACACACACACACACACACACACACACACGAAGCAAGAAAGCCATCAAACACAGAAAAAAGAAGGTCAATCAAAGCATCATTTTAAGGGATTTTCACAAAGTCAAAACATGGTCATGGTTGTGAGTGGGTACCACATTTAACTGCTAAGGATACAACAACTTCACCCGGACCTCTTTCCCTGGGGAGTAGAGTGATTTAGGGATATGGACAGATTAAAATTTTGTCTTTATAATAAATTTGTGCATTTCTTTGTTCACTCTCATTTCAGACTGAAAATCTTCAACAATTTCAATTCTCTCTCATAAGGAAAAAACAGTAATGTGCATCAACTGGTTGAAAACTGAGGGAGAACATGGCTGTGGGGGCCAAGCTTTCTTGTGCTGAGCCTTTGAAAGAAGAACAAAACACAACAATGTCCGCAGATAAATTGTGGGTTTTCTCAAGCAAGGCTTCTCTGGAAAATTCTTAAGGAAATATTGCCACCTCCTGGACAGGAGCACGATGAACAACCACCAGGCTCTTACTTCACGATGTCTTTGTAGCCTCCTCGTTTACAAGGGCAATAAAAAGAACGCTGGTTGGTCTCTTCTCTTTACTATTGCCACGTGATATTAATACACTAAAAATAATAATAGTAATAATAATAATAATTAATAATAATAAATCAAGTCATTATAAAAAATCACAAAACTTTTGCAAATTGAACTGAAAGCCCATTTCAACACTAAATAAATTCTCCAGGGGGGAAATAGGTCACACTTAGCAGGTTTACCCACCTCTTTTAAAATCTCACACACTCTGTAACACTTACAGGACCTGATAAAAAAATCTTGGCAGAATCCCAACTTGTTTCTGCCCCTTTATAATGTTGTTGCTGGGGCTGTTAATCTCACTTTATAAAGAAGTTCAAGTGTGACTAGCCTGTCTTAAATGTCTCAATATATTTTAATATTATAAAAAGTTAGCAGCACTTACAACTTTTCCTTGTAGTGTTTTGAGGGAGTCTTGCTGTGGAGCCCAAGGTGGCCTCAAATCGGTGATTCTTCTGCCTCTGCCTCCTGAGTGTTGACATATCACCCCACCTGGTTTAAAACTTAAGACTTAAAAATGAGACACCTGAAGAGGTTGTGGATATATATAACTAGTGTGTGCGAAGCCCTGAGGGAAAAAAGAGATGTCTGTATTTTCCTGATCATTTGTAAAATAGCAGTGTCCTGCGACCTTTGCAATGATTTCCTCTTCTGATTAGTCAGTTGTCCTTACCATTTATTTTATTTTATTATTTTTTAGTAAATCGAGTAAGTAAAACAGATTATTAATAAAATTATAGCAAAGAGAGAGCCAAATACTCGGTCGGCTCCCACCATCACAACAAATTTGTGTTTGTGAGTCCAGTGTGGAGAAGTCTGCAAGCCTGCAAAGCATATCACACCACTAGGTGAGAACAAGACAGAAAACCTGCATCGCTTGCCTTCCTCAACACTGTTTCACTGTGTGAGTTTCTGCATGAAAACCTGGGCCCCTCTTCCTGTGGGCTTCACAGGGTTTCGGGTACCATTTCTCCGAGAAACATTTTCACTATAATGATGTGATTAACTGTGATTGACACACACACACATCCCATGTCTACATTCACTCTGGGGAGAGACTTGGCAGAGAGGCCCCATCTTCCAACAAGTCCCCCCAAACTGTTGGCAGATCTATCTTCTGTTCCCCAGTACTTGAGATGAGTGGTCCTGTCATCCAGTCAAAACCGGTCAACCACTGATGCCTGTGCTAGAACACTGCCTCAGTTTCCTCCACAAGCATCCTCTGCTCAGGTGGCAGCAGGTCCTGATGTCTTTGCAAATGAGGTAAACACAGCGGGAGGAAGGGAGCTCAATTTCTTTAACCAACTGGCGCATTCTTATTGTTCTCTCTCAGTGGCTGAGGTAATGACAAGTACCTACTTCAAGGCCAGTGTGTCACGATGTTTGTCACCAGTGTCCCCAGAGAAGTGGGAGCATGACGGATGGGATGGAGGCAGATGAGGAAGCAGAAGCTGCCTCCCACCCGCAAAGCTCTAAGCTAACTTTCTGGCCAGTTGCTAAAGCTGACATGGTAGCAGTTTCCAGTGGTCTTGGTGTTGTACCAAGGACTAGAGCAGCTTCAGAGAATACCAAGAAAATGAAAGGCGAGAAACAGGGAGACATTTCTTTTTTCTTAGAAATCTTGTTTTGAGCTAGGGAGTCCCTCATGCAAAAACATCTTTGGTGCCAGTGATTATCTGGATCTGCAAATGCTAAACTGATTCACTGTCCTGCAGACACCCAAGGGCTGAATATCAAGGAACAACTGCATTAATCATGGCAGTGCCTGGGTGCCAAGCACATAAAGGCCGCTCCTCCAGGCAGCAGTGATCACAGGAGCCTTTCCCAAGACCACAGGCCCCCAAGTAGCTCTCTGAAGTGCCATTACTGACCATGTGTGGTGGGAGGGATGGGGCTAGCATCTGACATTCTCTGAAACGTGCTCTGAGAAATAAACATATTTGCATTTAGACCTTGTATAAAAAGGGAAGTAGGGTGGACGGGAGACTCTGGGCCAGAGTCATTGCACATGAAACAAACACGTGGATACTGAAACACACGTGTGTGCACACGCGCACACACACACACAAACATGCACGCACGCACAAAAGCTTTCAGGGAGAAACAGAAAATAATGTTTTGCAATTACAGTCCACAGCTGCTGTGGTTCTAATGTGCGCTTGCTACACAGGTGCGGCCATTATAACAATGAATAGCGCGCATTAAAGGTACCATCCATAGGGGTAATAATACTAGGGTTGAAAAGGTATTTTCATTTGCAGCCTGATGTTAGGCAGAAAATAAAATAAGGCGTTTCACAGCCAGCCTGATGGCTCAGCTGCCACATGGGAGGCCTGAGCCTGGGATGAATATAGGACCCTTCTGTGTGGATCTCTCAGTGGGAACCTGGCCGTGACTCCTGCTGCAGAGACTGTCAAATCTCTTCCTACTCTTTAAAACAGTAAATAAATAAAAAGCCTTCTGATCATGAATTAGGGGAACTGAGGTTCTTAGTAATTCACAGAGTTAGTAGGATCAGTCAGCCCGCCACCTACCAGAAATATTATTTTTAAAAATGGAGGAGAAATCCAAGAGATGGGGAAATGGGATAGAATGACTTCTGTGGGGAAGCAGCCTGGAGGGGGGACATGGCTTTGAAAACACTCCCCGAGGCCTGTCTGGGTCATACCATCACGGCTTTCCATGCCACACGGCCCAAAAATGTTCCTGCCACTGCGAGCTGTGAAACGTGAGGTTCCGGGTTCCACACATCTGACCCGGTAGGAGGATGAGGGCAGCACCTCATCTCAGTCATTTACTTCCGGTTCCGGGTTCCACACACCCAGCCCAGCAGGAGGATGAGGACAGCACCTCATCTTACTTATCACTCCGGCTGCTTCACTCTCAGTGGAAAAAACTCCTCTTCAGGCGAGCAAGGTGTTCATGCTGAGTGAGGGCAGGAAGAGGCTGGGCAGGAGGCCTTGAACCAGCTTCACAGAAGGCAAAGGAGCATGGTCGGTCCCGTGAACCTGAAACCCCCCGACACCCCGACCCTCTGCAAAGTGAGGTCCATAACATTTGCTGCAGCGCTTGGGTGACGTTCAAGAGCACAGCGAACACTAATGCTGTGCTGGCACATGTTACTACAGGAGCGTCCTTTTCTCCTGACATCATCACTTCTCCTGAGTGGGTTCGCGTGTGAAACAGAAATAGGGATCAGGAAAGAAGAACTGGAAGTACATTTGGCCTTCTGTATGCGTGGGTTCCACATCTGAGGATTCAACCAATCACGATGGAAAATTCCCTCGAAAAGTGTGCATGTGTGATGAACGTGCACAGATGTATTTTCCTGACATTAACGCCTAAACAATCCAGAGTAGCAACTGCTTACACAGCATTTGTGGTATGCTAGATATTAGGAGTAATCTGTAGGTAACTTAAGGTATACAAGAAGATGTGCATGTCACATACAAGTACTGTGCCCTTTTACTTAAGGGACTCAAGCATCCTGTACCTGACCCGTACCAATAGGTCGTGCTGTGCATGTTTCTCAATGCCATAACCAGCCTTAGCTTAAATGTCTCAGGAAGACAGTTAAATGTTTAGCGCTCTGCAGGAAAACTGTTTTCATGCTGTCTATCATTAGCAGAGATGCAAGCAAACAATAAAACAGATAATAATGCATGTTGTAGTGTGAGTTTGAAAAGAGAGGGGTCCATGGGACACAGGTGGGTGCTGGCACAGTGCAGGTGGCCTGGGCGTGCTTCCCCAGAGCCCAGGTGGACAGCCACCCACAGCTTGGAAGTCTGGAAGCTCACTACCCTGGCAGCGAGATGAGGGCCCTGCAGTCCTCGCCAGAATGAGAGCCATTCTAGGGAAGTGGGATGGACCCCCATTTACCAAGAAAGGCAGGAACATGGCCCTTTGTAGAGAGGCCTTAAAAGTGAGGAGAGGATTCAAATTAATTTGAAACTTCACAGGAAGCCTGTATAATGAAAACAAAACTCAATTGCCATGCCTGCTGGCACACTCTGGGTCTGGAAGAGCTCACACAGCAGAGCTCTGGATCGCTGCAGCCCACTGGAAAGACAAGGAAAACAGCCACAGAGACAGAGGCTGGGATGATGATGATGATGATGATGATGATGATGATGATGATGATGATAATGGAGATATGAGAAGGATGGGGAAACTGAGGTGAGAAAGGGTCTTACCTGTCTGTTACTCACGGGGATCCAAGAGCTCTTAGCTACTCTCATGGTACATTCATTTTATTGAGTCATTCAACAAAAATTGTTGACCAGTATAGCAGTTTGAATGAAAATGGCCCCCATAGGTTCATAAGGAATGGTACTTATTAGGAGGTTTAGCCTTGTTGGAGTAGGTATGGCCTTGTTGGAGGAAGTGTGTCACTGGGGGACTCCAAGGTTTCAGATAGTCAAGCCAGGCCCCCCTCCTCCTCTGCCTACCGCCTGCTTATCAGGATGTAGAACTCTCAGCTCCCCCTCCAGGACCATGTCTGCATGCATACAGCCTTATTGGTGAAATTATTATGGCCACTCCACGTAGTTAAAAGGGAGGTTTATTTTGTGGAATAACTTACAAGTGAAGGGATAGTTTACAGGGTCTGAGAAAGGTGTAGTACAGTCCAGCGGTGTTCTCTGGAGAACTCTGCTCGGTCTACCTCCAGCATCCAGGGTCCAGGAACCAAGAGAGCCTGCACATCCAGATCTTGGGTCTTCAGGGTCCTCTCTCAGGCCTGCCTTGTAGGCGTGACCATTACCAAAGCCTCAATGGGGGTTGGAACTTCCAGGTCACAGCTGGAATGGCTACCCACTACACAGCCTTGCTTCCTGCTATGATGATAATGGACTAAACCTCTGAACTGTAAGCCAGCCCCAGTTAAATGTTTTCCTTTATAAGAGTTGCCTTAGTCATGGTGTCTCTTCACAGCAATAAAAACCCTAAGACAGAATTTAGTACCAGGGACTGGGGTGTTGCTGTAATAGGCCAGACCATGCTTTTGTTTGGAGAAATGTGGACTTTGGGACTCTGGATTAGAAAAGCAGCTGAAAGCTTTAAGCGGGGCTTAATGGGCCATCCTAGTAGGAGCATGAAAGACAGTGGTGCTGAGGGTGATTTGAACTGTGGGGGCCTGGTGCAAGAGATTTCAGAGAAGAATATTAATATATGCCCTAGAGATCATTCTTGGGATGTTTTGGTGAAGAATATGGCTGATTTCTGCCCTTGTTCAAAATATCTGCCCGAGGCTAAATTGAAGAGTTATGGATTAACACCTTTGGCAGAGATTTCCAGACAGCTTAGTATTAACTGTGTTGCTTGGTTATTATTAGTGGCCATGCTTATGAGATCTAAAATAAAAAGGAGCAAGCTGAGAAAGGAAAAATACAAAATGCACAGTTTGAGGAGAAAAGGGGCACCAGGAAGCATAAACAAATTAAAGAAAAGCCTAATGCTAAATAAAATAAAGGGAGTGGTGACCTCAGAGCAAGACCCCACCTAGCTAAGCTTCCAATATGAGAAAAGGAACTAAAGAAAAGTGAAAAGGAATTAAAGAAAAGCTTAGAGCCAGGCATGGTGGTGCACACCTTTAATTCCCAACACTCAGAAGGCAGAAGCTGATGGGTCTCTGAGTTCAAGGCCAGCATGGTCTAGAAAGTTCCAGGACAACCAAGCTTAGGCAGTGAAGGAAACCACTGAAAGCAGAAAGCTGGTGAAGATGTAATTGAATGAGGGGGTCATGTTCCAGCCCCAGCAAGCAGCAGAACTTGACAGCTTCAGCCACATGTCTCTGGCTTTAGAGTCAAGGATAGAAGAAAGGGATTATGAGAGCTCCCTCTATGGTTAAGGAAAGCTACTGAGGCCAGGCATTCTGAGATGAAATTATAAGACATTGCCATTTTACTCCCAAGCTACTCAGGGGAGTCAGCTGCTGTGTCTGAAGACATCCATATGCCAACAAGCCTTATGAGTGAGCTTAGACACAAATCCTCCTTCTAGTCTATAGTCAGTTCATTGTAGCCCTGGCTGAGAAAAAGAGATGTCAGGGAAATGCCAGGAGCCAGCCAGAGAGACATGGAGGAAGCAGGAAAGGAGGACATACATAATGAAACAAGGATAAAAAGACCCAAGGCAAAACGTAGATAAATAGAAACAGGTTAAATTAAGTTATAAGAGCTAGTGGGACAAGACTAAGCTAAGGCCAAGCATTTATAATTAATAAGTCTCTGTGTGTTTATTTGGGAGCTGGCTGGCAGCCCAAAGAAAATGCCAACTACAGTATATTTCTGTTGTTTGTTTTATTTTGTATTTTGAGGCAGAGTCTATTGCGTAGCTCTGGCTGTCCTGGAATTCACTATGTAGACCAGGCTGGCCTTGAACTCACAGAGATCTGTCTGCCTCTGCCTCCCAAGTGCTGGAATTAAAGGTGTGCACCACTACCGCCCAGTAGAAGAATGTTTCTGACTGTTGGTAACTGCAGTAGACAAATGTTTGTTGTTTCAAGATGCTTAGTACTAATTTATTAAAGATAATTAATATACCTGCTACCATGACAAGCCAAGTAACATAAAGTATGGTCATTCCCCAGCGTCTATCTGCAGGACTCTCAAAAGATCTCAAAGTCCACAGATTCTCCAGTATCCTTATAAAATAAGCATAGTGTTTGCATATAACCTACCCATAGCCTGACTGCTTTAAATATCTGCATATGGCTTGAAATAGCTAATACAATGTAAATCTTATGTAAATACATGTTACTTAGAGAATAATGGCAAGGAAAAAAATACGTAGTCATATTCAGATACAACCACTGTGGGTCTAACAGCAGCTTCAGTCTCTGATTGGCTGATGGTGTGGATGTGGAAGGTGAATTGGATGCAGAGCCAATTGAATGGACTATTACACTTGAGATATGAAGTGCCCCCACAGGCTCCTGTGTTTGAACACTTGCTTGCCAGCTGGTGGTGCTGTCTGGGGAAGTGGTGGACCCTCTGGGAGGTATGTCGTTGCTAGAAGCCAAGTCCTGAGCCTTATGACTCCACCCCTCTTCTGGTCCTATCTCTGCTCCCTTACCCTCACTGCTGCTGCCACAGCCCAGGGCTGCTTCTCCTGCCATTCCTTCCTCATCGTGACAAACTGTGCCCTCAAACCACGAACCAAAACAAATCCTTCCTTCCTTAAGTTGCTGAAGATCAAATGCGTGGTCCCAGGTATGAGAAAGGATGCTACTACTTGTACAGACACACATACTACGTGGGAACGGTTATCAAGAAAAACATACTTGGGCCAGCAAGTGCTGAGATTACAGGCGTGCACCATCATGCCCAGATTCACCGGTTATTTTTTTAAACAGCAATAATAAGTGTAAAAAAAGAAAAAAAAATTCCTCACAATACAAACCCAGCTGATCTTTCTTAACCACTCCAGCTCATAAACTTACTTGACTCAGAATTAATAACAAATTTTACACCCCTCATCCTTCTTATTACTGTTTATATTTTTGAGACAATATAATTTACATTGGCTATATTCTTCTGATCTTCCTCCACCTCCTGAGTACTGGGTGCTACCATGACCAGCTCCCTTTTTGTAAAAGTGTGAGTCGATTTCTGAATTTTTTTTATCATTTACAAATGTCTAAAATTGGTGCATTTTGACATGGAGGGGGCAAGCCTATCAAAGAATTTAAGGAAATATAATTTTGCCTCCTTCCACAAGCTGCCAGAGTGGGAACTGACACCTATCCATTTTCTCTGCAGTTTTCTCTATCCCCTGTAGGGACATTTGAGACGCAGTACAGAACTGTGCCGACTCTGTTAACCTGGTGTGGCTGGAACCTGGACCTACTCGGTTCCTTTCAAAACCACCGTTAGGGTCTGGGGAGACAGCGCAACGGTTAAGTGCTCACCACACAAGCGTGAGGCTAAAGTTCAGATCCTCAGGGCCCACATAAACACTGGGCAGGTGTGGTGGCCTACGTGCAATTCTAGTTTGATGGAGAGGCCCTGCCTCAGTGAATAAGGTAGCAGCAACATCAACCTGAAGCCTCCACATGCTCCTGCACACAGTTAATGAATACCCACATGTGCCCACACATGGAAACGTGCATACACCACACTATACGCATGTACACGTACACACACACACACACACACACACACACACACACGCACGTAATTTTAAAAAGAAAAGAAAAAGCAGGCAGGGGGCAGCTAGGAGATGCAGAAGATAGTTAACTCAGGTCCCAGTGGGGCATGTCAGAGTCTGAGGGTGTGGTTAGAAGAAACAAATTCTTTGGTTCTTGAAATCTGCCTATTTC